CACAAACAGAATCAGTTCTAAATATAGACGGGTCAATAAGGTATTCGCCGGCGGCGCCGCGTCTACCGAATCGCAAACTCTAAGTTCTCCGATACACTTGCGATTTGCCGCGTTCTAAACGCCAACAAAACGCAATTATACGAATACTAAATTACTTGATTACACAAAAGAAATTACATATAACTTAACGTTAGTTATTGAGACCTTCCTTTAAGCAAAGTTTATGAAATTGTTGAAGACTTCTATCCTATTTTAGTTTCTGTTATTACGTTTACTTATTTATATAGTGTTTTATCTGTGAATGCATTAAAAGGTTTAAAGTTGTAAATATATGTTCTCTATAGGTGATAAGATTGTAACAATCAATAACAACCTGTTAGTGTCTACAACCATATTAATTATTTGTTGTTAAGTAATTTAAGCAAATTAAAATAATGAAAATATATATGTAATTATAATATTTCCTGGTTTATCATTAATTTGATTTAATCGTAATATATACATATCGTAATATATTTGTGATACATTCAATTTTGAGGCTATGAATTTTTCAGTCAAGCATACTAATTAAATATATAATAATAAGAATTTAATAAACAAGTCATTTTTGCGACGTAAGATGCATGGCGTTCATAAGAAGCGTCAGACGTCCTTCTATGAGGAAAACGCTTGACTGTAGAACTACTTATTTTATATACTATAGAATATGTTGCCTATATTATGTAACATTCAAACCTATGTAGGATACATATTTTAGTACTAAAGTTAGTAGAAAGACAGATATCATTCATGATAGGTATTAAGTATGCCACCAAAAACCCTGAAGGTGGAGGTTAGGTTATATAATAATCTTTATATTAATAGCCAATAAAATATAGTCTCTACATAATAACGTAGGTTGAATTTTATCGATTTCCAGACTGATTGCAATCTTTGAATATGTCATTGCCGACCTTTAGTGTCGACAATATTCGGGCGGCATAATAAAATCGAATTGCTCACCTTCATATTGTAACAAAGCAAATACATTCTCCGAACATTTACAAAATTTAAAATTACTGTTCAATCAATGAGTCTTTCAACGACCGGCTATTAATTTTTTTTAGACAATGCCTACACTAAGCATAACTAAGTTAAATAAGCACAACAACAAATATTTTTACATATATGAAGGTAGATAAGTTACCACCGATCGTTTAAATTTTTTTGGCAATTAAACTCACACATGTCTATTTTTGGATCCAAACTTTTCCGGCATTTCCTTTTTCTACGAGCGTAGTGTAATTAGTGATTCAAACCTCCGACCCCGACTAACAGCCACTATGTAATATTATATATATTACATAGTGATAATATATATAACATACTATATATTACATAGAAATAATTGGAAACCTATTTCTTAGGAAATACAATTTGATTTAGCAACCAATAAAGATTTACTTGTTGAGAGTGAGCTACACGTGAAAGTTTATGTCGTAGAGCTAAATGTGCTACGAACCGTAGCAAGTTCTACAATATTTATCGTTTAATGTTTTCCAACTATTAAAGGAAGTCAAAATATTGTTCAACTCATAAAATTGAATAGTTCTTAACAATTAAAATCAATTTTAAACAAATCATATTTATTTAAATTACTATATAGCATTCGGTAATATATTTAGTATTTAACACATTCATTCTAAACATTGAATTTAATCAATAGTGGAATTCGAATTATTACTTCAGCTAAAATAGATCTGTAATATGTTTTCATGAGCGCCGAAGTCTACGTGATCAATGCTTGCACGTGCTGAGAATAATGTTTTAGATATTCCAGACCATATTTAGATTAATTATATATAACCTCATAATAAATTCGTCGCTGATGTTCAAATTAGAATCTGACAAGAATACAGATATATGGATCGAAGGATTTAAACGTATAAATTAGAACAAGATTTCTTGATCTGGTTAATGTGTGCGACTCTCATTTCTAAAGTAGGCCCGAGCGATTATGATTTTTTCTTTCTGTGTGACGATATGCTCTAAATGTGAAGAACCGGAATAAAGTCCACAGAATATGTTACGTTGACAGAAGTCTGATATACTTGCCTATACAAAATCTAAATTATTGTCAAAGTCACTTGAATAAATTTTGAGTGTTAGAAATATATTACATTTAATAAGACTTCGTTAATGGATATACACAGGTCTTTATTGACTTTTGCATATATTATTTTTTATTTAAATACATCTGCAGATGTGATAATATCCTAACGATATATTCCTGCATCAAAAATGTGTGGTAGATAGACAAATAGAGAATAAAAATATTTTCGCGACCCGATATATCGACTCGTTATCCTTCGTTCCAAAAATACTTTCCGAATGGAACATTTATTCCGCATACAACTTTTTCATTATACAAATTTCTTATTACCACACCGTACCCACACTTAATTTACCAAGTATTCAGCAAACAACAGTAATTCCTGGAAAACATTCATTAGAATATAATATACAGAAACAGTCACAGTATATATAATAACAGAATTCAATATACAGAAACAGTCATCTATAATCACCCTAATTGCTTTTTTATTACCCTTAGAAACAATACCCACTTTTGATGAATTTCAACATAGTGCATATGTTTTGTGCGCCCTCTACGTCATTTTGCTTTTTAAATACTTAGGCAATGTTTATACCATTGCCCAGTAGCATAATATTAATTAATTTATAATTAGACTGGTGGTATCATACTGTTTTTAAGTTAGGGTTCATTTCGAGTTGAATTGAATCGTGGCTATTAGTAAGAGAGTATTCCGTCACGTTTATGCATTTGCAAAACGAGTCGAGAGTAATAAGGACAAAACATTAAAGAGCTGTTTGAGCCCTATATAGTACCAAATATGTAAATATATAAAGCTCAGTGTAAAACTTTCATCCGGATATACATACATTCATTGAATGAACGACGAATTGGGATTGAAATATTCATTATACATTCAGGAACATTTCAATAACGAAACTGTATAGGGACAAACAGCCTTCCTTGGCCTGAATACATGAATTTATGTCATACACTGGTGGTTACATAAAAAAGCAATAAATTTGTCATGCATTTTTTTAACTTGTACAACAAATGTACAAAAAGGTGTGTTTAAATGCTGAACCCGCCATTAATATCCTCAAGTGAAAGATATTTGAGATTCAAATTCAATTCAAACTATCAAACTATGTTTCACAGTTTTGACAGTCCTGCGAAAACAGTTTTGTGATTGCGACACAAACCCATATTTAATGAATTTCATAAAGATTCAATTAAAAATTAAGATTTTATTTATCATTCAGCAACATTTGAAACTAGAAAGATATTATTTTATCCCATAAAAAATCTTGACAGTAAAAAGAAATGGTGGCTATCCATCATCTTCAACATCTTGGTCTCAGCCTAACAGAGCTGACAGTCGCTGTCCATTTTTTTTTTCATTTTTCTTTCATGGTGTAAGTAGTTATTAATTGTACAGATGAAATAATCATTTATATTTATTATGGATAGCTAAGGGGCTGAGAGTCGCCAGCCTAAAAGTCAAAAGTCAAAAATCATTAATTCATGTAGGTAACACAATGTACACTTATGAACGTCAAAAAAAGAAATATACATTAAATGCTTCTAATTTTACATTTACTGCCAGTTCTCAAATCAAGGGCGTAGAAAGGAAGAGAAGAACTGGCAATAAACTCTCCGCCAATCTTTTTAATCGCCAAGTTTTTTGTTTTACACAATGTTTGTAAGGAGCTGTAACCATTACACCATGTTCCACATGACATCTTAAGTAATAAATAATAATAAAATAAATTAAAAACATACACACGTACAGTATAATTAGTCTGCTTTGAATTCTGTGAGAGCATGTATTCCAATAAAATTCCCTTTCGATAACGCTTGACCGCATTTCTCATAAATGAACAAAAGAGGTTAAATGACTTCCGCACTCGGCGATTTTCAGTCTTTCTTACTCTTGCTGAATAATGATTTAATTCTATATAAATTTAATATACTCGGGTAGTTTTACGTTCATTTATAGTTCACCGAAATAATTTAGTAAAGCAAAAAAGCTGGCGCGGTCGCTGAGCAGGCGGAAAATAATAAACGGCTCAAATATAAGAGTTTTTCTCCAGCTTTCCTTTAACTTCGATCTTGTTCCCTTTATAGAATCTTAGGCTTCAAGTGCACAGGCATTAATTAAAGATTTAAGTTTGTGCCTGGTGGGTAGTACCGGTGACCCCAGGGCTGGTGCTTTCCTCGCTCAACGAATAAGTATCGCATTACAGCGAGGTAATGCTGGCAGCGTTAAAGGTCACACTGCCACAGGGATCAAACTTTATACACTTGTTTTAATTTATATTTAATTTGTTTATTTTTCTATGTAGGTTAAGAATACTGTATATTTATTTAGTATAGACAGAAAGAGTTTATTTTCTTCAGTGAATTATATTGATCAAACCTAAAAAGAGACTTTTCACTCATGTAAATTACAAATAAAGTTATTTCCTTATCATTATTACATAGAAAACAATCACGCATGGTGATTAAGCACCTACGACACCAAGCATACACAAACAGCAATATCATACTCTAAACATCGATCTACGTTTACTGAGCACTGACAGCCGATTTATATAACCAGTTGATCCTCACCCGTTGGTTATGAAAGCGGCGTTTAATTCAACGAACGGGTGATTGAAGCGCAAAATAAAACACATTTGCAGGATAACATTTATTAATGACACTTTAATCAGCCTACACAGTAATTGTAAGTGGAAATGGAAAAAAAGGTTTATTCGCAAAGAAAAGCTTAATAAGGGCATACGAATACACTGCACTGGAAAGCTTTACACTCGTTAACTTTGACCTTTCTGACATTGCAGTACACATATGATATCCAGTGTGTGATATGAAATGAAAATGAGGTAAGCTTGCAAGACAGTGGATAGAGAGAAGAGACATACAGATGGTTGGTTTGTTCGTGGTCATTGCTGTGTGTCGGCTGGGAGCCGGATCTTCGCAGCCGCCAGATGGCGTGGTGCGCGGCCACCAAGCGCGCGAAGCCGTGACGAGCCACGCTAGAGAGCGCTACACGCGCATTCCACCGCGATCAACAAGTCTTTCGAGCTTCGCCCAACACCAGGACTCAGGAATGGATCAACAGGTGACGGGAACACCCCACGAGGCACTTAATATCAAAAAGCTTGCTTAATCACAACCGAATATCACAAAAGCGGTGGCAAGCGCAACTAAGTGGACGGCGGCTTACGTAACGCTAAACTTAACTACTTGTAAACGTGCAAAAAACTATCGATCACAGAAATAAGCCTTAACACTATCGTGCCCGTGGGGTTATGTAATGGAGTTTGGAATTGAAGGGCGGGCGCAAAGGACATGCGCGTAAGATAGGAGCTAGGCGAGCACTGGAAGGAAAGTGCGGCTCGCGTTCGGCTCTCGCACCCCCTTCCCCCGCTTTCGTTTACCCCCCAACCGCGCTCCATTCTAGCCAGGTCTAGTCAGATATATTACGCAGACGTAACGGCTTTTCATTTTTCCTGGGAAACAGCCAACTGGATTTCTAGGGTTCAGTAGGTGAAAGGACGTCTTGTGCCCTCTTTCATTTTATATAAAAATTGCAATTTTAAATTTAGATCATTGTCAAAAGATTTATATTATTTCTAGTGGCTCAATAATTGTATAATTAATTTTATTAATTGGATCAGCGCGATCCTCTTTCGACCTATAAAGTCTTGACTTCAAACAAAAGTAAGAATATCTAGAGTGTTAAATCGGTTGATACAGTGTTAACGTATTCATTATGGTTTATAATAATATGTATAAACAATACGCTCAGCCGATAACTATTTTTTATGCGTGATAGTGACATCTAGTGTCGAGCGGCAAAACTAACAGGTGCCAAGCAGTCTGCTACGAAAGCTACAGTCTTGCTACGTGTGAATTGTAGAGGGCGAGTACTGACAGAACTCAGCCAATACCAGCAAATTCATTGTTATGAAATACAAATAGTTTAGTTTATGTGTTCCCTTTTAATTTCGTAATATTATATATTGTAAATATTCTATGGACTATCTTAGTAATATAATACTTTTAAACGTACACAACCTGTACGTTACAAAAAGAGAGGCGGAGAGTTTATTGCCAGTTCTTCTCTTCCGTTCTACGCCCCCGATTTGAGAACTGGCAGTAAATTTAAAAAAAAATGAAAATTAGAAGCATTTCATACATTTTGTTACCTATGAATGAATAAAATATACACCAATAAATGGGAAGGGTTTAAATGTCAACAAATCTAATAAAAGTTGGCGGAAAATTTTATCATAATATATAAAACGTAAATATTATATTATTAGTCCCTATGGAGTAGCAAAAACTGACCCCCGATGAAACAAAAACGGCAAAGCTAGTCGACGTCTAACTTAATTTCCTTAAAATTGAGCTCTCGTAAACAAGGCGTTGCACCGTCGCCAATTTCTCCTTCAACTCGATCGAAAGTGGGCCGACCTATTTTCTACGGCATAGTATCTAGCCTTCCTTCCCGTTTCATTTTTATTCCATATATGGTTTGGAATTCAATCAAGAATAGTTACGATTTATTGCGCGTAGCGGCGCTAGTTGTCTTGTACAACATCGCCTTCATCAAGATTCTTTTATTAAAGTAAATATTTATTAATTTTGCTTTTAAATAACTATACTAAACGCATTTAAAGAAAACACTTTTTTACCGGATTGAAGTTATGTATTATTATAAATTTACAATTATTTTACATAATTTTAAATTTAACCGACGATTCGCGTTCTTTACAGCGTGGGTGGTCACGGTGACTGAAGACAAAAGGTGTTGGATGTCAAAAAGTATCACAGCTGTAGAAAAAGTTGTATTATCTGTATTTATTTCCCCGGAGTTTTGTGTTTTCTTTAAATGTGTAAAGGTTATGTCAATAAAAGACAATACTATGTACTAAATGCAATCTAATTAAATAATTATTATAAGTAAGGGCCATTTAAACGTAAAGATTTACGCACGAATAGTCTCAGTCCCTCAGGACGGGAGAAGTAATAACAAGTACTAAGCTCATATAGTGAACTTCAGTATTTCTTATATTTGTATTATGTAAGAGTTTACCGATACTAGACTAAACAAGCATGGAATTAAATAACTTTTGGGTATACACTGCCTAGGGATACATAACAACTACCCAACTACTAATTAGGGGAATGTTTAGGAAGTTTTATGGTAGTTAAACTATTTTCTTTGAAAAAATTAGCTATTGCTATGAGCATTGTTGTTTGTGATACAGACATTAAAACATTTAAAAAATTTGTACCTTTCATACAAGATATAATACAGTTTTTTACGTGAGGAAACCGACATGTCGCAGACCCAAAAAGTCGACGGCGTGTGTCAGGCCCTGGAGGCTGATCACCTACTTGTCTATTAGATTTAAAAATGATCATGAAACAGATTCAGAAATCTGATGCACAGATCTAAAGAGGTTGTAGCGCCACTGATTTATTATTTTTTATAATACAGGTTTATTGGTACAGTGATACATCTTATTATAGAATGTCCTGTATTCGGAGCCTCCAGGTGCGATCTCGAGCAATAAATCGATATAAAGGTAACAACCGAGCATTTACCGGATATATTAAGAAACTTCAGAACGCAACTGGAAGATTTCTGCAGTAAGGTGGTGAGATGTGTTACTCGCTGCAACAAGAGCGTAGCAGAGGTGAGACGGGCCCACACTAGCCCATGAATATAAAATAGAAATATGTAGTAATATATGTATTTTTATGTATGGATATATATATATATTAGGAAATTTCTTAATGTATGTATGTATGTGTTAGTACAAAATATATGTATAAAATAAGGTCCCGCACCACAAGAGTCGGGGATATTGGGAAATTTATATTTAAAAAAAAAAACTGGTTTATTCTTAGAGGGTTGCCAAACTGGCGTTATATATTATTCTGTGTCATCACCTTCTTCAAAAGATGAATTGATCCCGCTAATCTTGCAATAAAATAGTTGATATTGTAAACCTATCCGGAGCGATCATCCATCATTTAACCCTTTCTTCGACTCTTTCCTATTGTTTTACTTAAATTGATGATGTTTGCCTTGAGTAATATGACTTGCAGTTACAAATGCGAATTTGGTTTTATATTTGTATATTTCATAACCGATTTTAGTACTTTTATCTAATATTTGGACCAACAAATGGATGAAGATATGCACTTAAAAAAATTGAAAAAGTTGACACTGTTTTTGTTATTATTATTATATTTTTATTAGTATTAGTAGAACGTGGAATAGCAATTTAGTTGCATCATTCCGAAGTCCAGTCCAGTCCTAAGAAGCGTGTGACAAACCCGCAGACATAATGTAAATAAAATACAGATTAAATTTACAATAGATTACCAAAATTCTAATAACTTTCAGCACTGTATTGACACTATAAATACATGAAGGTTTATTATAAATTGCATCAAAACCCACAGAAGATAAAAATACCTGTGAACTCTTAACACGAACATTCATTAAAACGAAACTGTTACATTTCGTCAGAACTGTATTTTAAAATGTATTTGTTTCAAAGCGTCAAGTTTTGTTCTGTCGTGGAAAGTGAGAAGTTATGTATACTCCGGACTCCGGAGATTTCTATTTTCGCTTTGTCCGTATGACTGCGCACTAAGTGATAAATATGACAAGTTTGCAACTGTTTTATATGTTTAGTTTTACGGGCGATTTAAATACTCAGAAAGTTTTTTTTGGATGTAAGTAGGTAATTGTTGGTAGGTGTTTGATTTAAAGAGGTTATTCAAACATTGTCTTAGGATTTTTTTTACTAATACGCAGTTGTTAATGATAACGAAACTAGGTATATATGTCTAATCCCTACTTTTCTCTATACAAATTTCATGTTGATTTCTCTGACTATTTTTTAGTGACTTCAGATCAAATTTTTTTTTATAAGACCTTCCTCTGCATTTATTCTTGATGGATTGAGGAAGGCATTGGCAATTAATGTTTTGACCCTCAAACCAGGTTTGAGGGGGGGGTCTTGGCTTTGTGTGCAGGCTCACAGCCTGTTGGAACACAAAGTGATGTCCCGAAAATGGGTGGGGGGGGGTTCAAGCTGTCCAAAACGTGTCTTGATCACTTTCCCCCTTCAAAAAGTTCTGCAGTCGGCGCCCGGAAAGGACACCCCCAACCAGACCATTACAGTGGGTTACCATTTATTTTTATTGCTTTGTTAAATGCATAACAAGATCTTATTTACCTTTTACATTTATCTCACTAGTTATTCTTTTCTTGTCCTCAACACTGGAGACTTCATTGTACCTATCATATACGTACACAACCTGTTATTTTTGGGGTACCAGTGTTAAATTGTTTTCGGTGTAAAGAAATGCGCGAACTGGGACACTTTAGTCTAAGAGCTACAAATTGGCCAATGAATTGAAATATAATCTAGACACTTTAGTTTAATCATCCACACTTTTAAAAAAAAAAAAAAAAAAAAAAAAAATTATTTTTTTTTTTTTCCTTTTTTTTTTTTTTTTTTTTGGGGGGGGGGGGGGGGGCCCCCCTTTAGTAAGAGCTACTTAGAATTGAAATATAATCTAGACACGTAAGAAACAAAACAAAGCCCAGTATGAAGCTGCCACACTTAGTAATTTAATTATAAGTTTTATTTTAATTAATATAGTTTTTTGAACTCAGTTTTTGGAGCTTGGTGTTGCAACCAACATTATTTGTATAAAGCATACAGTGTTTGATTGTTCAAGAGTATTAGTATTTATTGCTTTTTTGCTTTTAAGATTTTTTTAAATTCCCGTTGATAAACCTTTTTTTATATAAATAAATTATAACGTAATTAGATTGATCTATTTTTTGCTTTTTAGTTGCTTCAAGCGTAAAACTTAAATGACTGAAGAATAATGGCAAAAAGACGGTGATGTCTTTGCTATTTCCGTAATAATATAATGATATTGTTTACGAAACTGTGTAAATTGTATGATATATGTTTACATGAAACGTAATTTATCTATGTTATAATAATTATAATCGTGCTAAGTGGTATGTGTTGAATAATAAACGGTTATGCTAAGCGCAGTATTAGAGAGAGAATTGGTCAAAACGTTTAAATGTTTTTGCTAATGTTTTATTACCTTTTATTTAAAATTATGCATAGTTAGGTTTAAGCGTGTGACTATCATGCCTGAGGTCGTGCGTTCGAATTAC